AATGAGACAATAGCAGGAACGGCGGAATAGCAGGATTTTAGTGTCAGATAAATCTTTTCTTTCTTTCTTCTTCGCATTCTCTCTCTCTCTCTCTTTCTCTCTCTCTATAAATATATAAAAATAATACTCAGTAAAAATATTTCATATAAGAACATATATGTCAGAACGATATAAATATTACTCCATTTATAAAATTACAATAAAAGAAAAGTACAATAATGATAACTTATATAACTTTTAATAATACCTATTCTTCTTTATAAATGCTATCTTGAAAAAATGCTATCTTGTCTTCCTCTTCCTCTTCTGCTTTTTAAACTGACCAATCCTAATATATTTCTTAATATTTTATTAAAGAATTTGCACTTCAAACAGTGACATTGTTTACTTACATATTTTCTCTGTATTAAAAACTCATCTATTAATGCATTCAGTCGATAATACATTCAATCAGTAATATAAATAGATAATATAATTACACTAATGACCCCGCGGTATAAATTCTTGCAGTCGATAAAATCAATTTGACAATCGTATGTTTTTGTCGAATATAATCAATAGTTTAATATATTAAAAAAACCATTTTAACATTATCTGTAAAAAACTTAATATTAAAATCTATTAATTCTTATAAAAATAAAAGATTTTATTAAAATTAGAAAATTATTTAACAGCAACTTGTAGTAATTAATAAAGTTTAATAAAATTTTAACCAAATAAATAATTATTAAAAGATAAATTTCTAATGAAAAGCTTTATTTATTTATATATTGGTTTTCAAAGGTAAAGTCTTCCAAAAAATTGTATGATTTAACGTATTATTTTTAAGATCATATGAAGATCATCACAATTTTTTATAATGGAATTATATATTTCTCTTACATACGATTCTTTTAATTATTTTGCATATAAAAGTATTAAGATAGAGTTATCAAAAAATCAATTATTTACGAGATATTTTATACTTTTATATTTTATGCTTTATATTTTATACTTTATACTTTATACTTTATACCTTGTACTTATACTATTTTATACTTTATTCTGTGATATTTTGACATAAAATATTGTTTAGGAATAGGATAATTGAAATTCATAGATTCTTTATATTTGTCTCGCGGATCGCCTGTTATACGTTTGAAGTAAGTATGCATCACGCGTACCTGGCATGGAGTATACGCAGTAAACATATGCTCCGCAGAATTCGCGACGTAGCTTACTTCTTCGAAATTAGGATGAGAGAACATTGTTCGTCGCGTACGATTCGCGTTCGCTTTTTTCTCCCGATTGATATAGATCGCTAGATAGTTCGACAGCGTTTTCCATTCCGGCATTGCCTTTACCGTCGTCTCATATTCTGAACGAAATTAGTGATCGTTGCCGCATTTGCCGTAAGATTTTCAATTTCGTTGCCGTGTTTTGCCGAAGAGCTCCGTTGATTAATACGAGAAGATTTCCGCTGTGTCGTGCGCGAACCGCCCTATATTTCGACAGCTGGAACTATCGAAACCGCTCTCCTCGACCTTTAATTGTGGGCATGGTGATGTTACGTCCAGCTCGAGATAAATATTTTTTTTTGAAAATAGATGGGGCTTAGAAGGATGCTCCAAATACCCTCGCAGGTGGGCGCGCTGAGGCATCCCTACAAGTCGGACATACTGTGCAGAGCCACGAGTACGAGCAACGTCTTGAAAAAGACGCTATGACTTCGACTACGTGACGTGCGTCCGTCGGTCCGTAATTTAGGCAAGAGAATTTAATCTCTTTTGCCAGGGACAGGATCATGCGCGAATCTTGGGATAACGGGGGGAATGAAAGAGGGAGGAAATAACTAAAACGATAAATAATTTAAATTTTACATGTAATTAATAATTTTAAAACGATTACAAGTTTAGCTAACTACAAGATCCGTGTCATTATTTCTTGCATTGAAATATATTTACTGAAGGTATATTTACATTTGATAAAATAATAAAAAAGGGTGTTACGTACGGAAATTCATGTAATATAAATGTTCTAAAAATTGACGGATGTATTATTTAATTTCTGTGTACAAATTCTATTATATTTGTATGTTTGTCTATATTCTAATTATTCTTATCTTACATAGTTTAGTATTTTTAATCTGTATTTGATAATTTTATCTTACGTTGTTAATCTATTTAAATTTGTATTTTGTTATCTGTGTGTGGTTGTTTCGGAGAGGAGGTTGGATTTCCGATGGTGAGGTCTAGGGGAGGAAGGGAAGCAGTCCGAAGTTCGCAGAACTCGTCCAAGGATTTCTGGGTGCGCAAATCTGGATATATCTGGAGATTAGTGTCATGGCGCTCTGGGAAGAGTGCGCTGAAATCTGGGGGTGATCCAGATTCGGATGGTCTGATCGGGGAATAGGAGGGAGGAGATATGTACAAATAATAGGGTCTCCTGCTGGAACAACTCGTAGTTTCTTCGGCATGTGTCAAAACCTCGGATGTCCTAGGCGAGGGATAGTTCCCTGATTGACGAGCTTGAGGGCTCGCCTCCGTCTCTGAGTGTCGGAAAGAAAGGATGATGCAGATTTCACTAGAAGAAATGGATTTGGAATATGAAGGAAATGTCATTGGTCGTAAACCTTAAGGTTATCTCTGAAATATTTCAGGAAACCGAGAGATCCGACAGAGGAGAGAAATTAAGAAGGGAAAGAGAAAATTGTAAGAGAGGAGAGAAAGAAGAAAAGAATAGATTTCCCGAATTATTCGGTGGCCATGAATCTGAGTGTTCCACAACGCATAGGGAGTCAGTGAGGTTCGACGGCCGAAGCAAACAGAGAAAAAGCAGATTTTGCCGAATTACTCGGCAGCCATGAACCTGCTGAGTGCTCCGCAACGCATAGGGAGCCCAAGAGGTCCGACGGCCCAAGCAAAGAAAGAAAGAGAAAAGAAAAGAAAAAGAGAGTAGAAGTAAGGAGAAACGGCAGAGGATAGAAAGGATGTAAGGGAGAAATGAGAAAATATAAGGAGAAGAGACCCGAAAACTATTATTAGGGAATTTTTCTATGTGTAATTGAACTTACTGTTACTCTGTAATGCCGAAGACTTGGGACTTGCGAGATGATGAAGGCGGAAACTGTGTCGCCAGGAAACTTGGTCACTTGTACTTGTACTTGGTGAAATTGTTGATTTATTTCGACTGACACCGACTGATTGAATTATTGACAACTGATGGACTGAAAATGTTCTGACCGCGTGAAAAAAAGGAAGTAGCAGTGCATGCTCCGTGCCTTTAAGGGCACTATATATATATGATTTCATTGAGGAAAACATCTGTACACGTGTTGTTTTTCTGCGATTAGGATAATAGGGATTATCCGCTTAGCCAAATTCTTAGTAACCAACCCCCGGAAGAGATCAGTTGCGTAACCGTCGCGATCGTAACAGAGTAACAGAACATGTGTCACTCGTTTATCCGCTTAATTAAATTCTAATAACTGATACCCGAAAGAGAAGAATCGTGCAATCGTCACGACGTAACAGTGAATACATCATATTTTTGTAAATACAATGGAATTGTTCGATACCCAATCTTTCCGCCTTGGTACACGGCTCCTTCATATAAGGTGGAACTAGTCACTCGCGAACATTTTTCTGGTTCTTCGAGCCGGATTCGTGGTCAAGAAGACGACACTTGTTTTTAATTTCGAGCATTCCAACCAATATCATCGCTCTTTTCACGATGTCTTCCGTCGAGGAACTTTTGGCTGTGCAAAATCAGCTATATTCAATTCCGTGTCCCGTGCTCTACCGAATTTTAAGAAGCTGGGACAAGCCAAGATCACCTGCCATAACGAGACTTCGTCTTGCGACTGTGAAGAGAACATTTGCTAAGTGTCAAGAACTTGATGGTAAAATCATCATGCAAGCGGACGAAAAACTCAAAACAACGCATATCTACTTCGTGCAGAATTTGTTTCTGGAGTGTGAGGATTGCTACAACGAAGCTGCCGATTACATGGCCGAAATGTTGGATCGTTAAGAATCGCACGCATTCTATTCAGCGGCGTCGCCCGATGTAAGTCTGTCTGATTCTATTCGATCGTCATCGCATCTGCCAAGGATCAATTTGCCGAACTTTGACGGGAGCTTCGATAAATGAGAAAGTTTTCGCGATAGATTTAAGTCGATGATTCATAATGATCCGAGTTTGTCAAACACATGCATTATTTATGTTCGTGTAAAAGGGGATGCAAGTAACGCTCTTAATCCCTCGCGGTCACGAACGCAAATTTTGATGTCATGTGGAATATTCTTGTGTCTCGTTATAATAAACGCCGTCTTATTACGTTTCACTTGCAAACACTGTTGAATTTATCGTCGCTTACTTCAGAGTCATCCAAAGACCTTCGTAATCAAACCAATACAGCAATTCAAGCTCTCAAAAATCTCGGTCGTTCTGTCGAACGTTGGGATGTCCTTGTTTTTCTCGTCGTTCAAAAACTCGACAAGTCTTCTCGCAAGGCTTGGGAATTCAAGTTAGGCGATACCGTAGAATATCCAAGCTATAATGAGCTTGATCAATTTCTCGATTCTCACATTCGCGCGGATAGATGCAATATCACCGGTTAATTCAAGGAATAAACCGTTTGATCCTTTGAAAGAAAAGACTGTTGCTTCACATTCCGCGTCCACGCTATCACTCTCATGCTCGCTCTGTAAGTCCAATCATTTGTTGTATCAATGCTTTACGTTCTTAAAGCAGATTCCATCCTAACGATTTCGTTAAACGAACCAAGCGCTGTCTGAATTGTCACGAAGCATTCTGTTCAAGTTCTCGCGCGTGTCGACATGTAGCAAACGATATCACACATTGTTGCATTTTGAGACTACCGTTAGACCTGTCGAGTCAGAACAAGCATCCGTGCCTCCGACGACATCTAATATGGAAAATCATAGCGAAGTCGCATCACATTTAGTGTCGAAGACTGTCGTGCCAAACTCCAAAGTTTTGCTCGCAACCGCTTGCATTCGCGTGCATTTTCATTCCGGACGTTTTGTTACCGTGCGTGCGCTCCTCAATCAGGGTTCTATTTCGACTCTGATTACCGAATCTCTCGATCAGTGTTTGTGACTTACGAAGTCTAAGCGTTCCGTTTTTGTTACCGGTATCGGCAATCAATCATATGTCATGCGGCGCAAGTTACAATTACCTCCGCGTCACATGATAGTCCTGCCTATTCTACGACCGCGCTTATTCTTCGCTCGTTAACCAAATATATTCCCAGTCGGATTAATATCGCGCCTACACGAAAGCGGACTTAAATTAGCCGGACTTAAATTAGCAGATAGTAACCCTATGAGTTCAAATCCAATTGACGTCATTATTGGTGCCGATTCAGTCAACTCGTTCTCGATGGTGTTCGTCGAGATTCACTCGGTGAACCTATCGCGCAAAATACCATTCTCGAATGGATTCTTTCCGGTCCAATCGCGTCGTCCTCTACAAGTGAGTTGATTTTCGTGCCCGCGCATTACGGAATCACTGTAGAGATTCTCGATTTCGATCTTCGTCGTTTCTGGAAGACCGAGAAGATCCCTCAAACAATTCAACACAGTCCTGAAGAACGTGAATGTGAGGAGCATTTCCGCGCGACTCATTCTCGCACTTTTCAGGGACGTTACATAGTTAGATTACGTTTAAAAACGGCCCACTTTTTAGGAGAATCTCGCTTCATCGCTTTCTCAAGTCTCCATCGATTGGAGCAACATCTTCAGCGAAATTCAACCAAAGTTGCCACATACTGTGATTTTCTCAATGAATATGAGAACTTAGGCCATATGGTAAAAATTCCGTCAACACTGTCGAGCTGCCTTAAAGCTATTACATCCCGCATCATGCTATCTTCCGTGACAACAGTGTAACCATTTGTTTGTGTGTTGTTTTCAACGCATCCTGCCGAACCATTAACGGCACTCAATGATCACATGATGATTGGCTCCAAACTTCAAAATAATCTCGCTGCCGTCATCATGCAATGGTGTCATCATCATTATGTTTACACTGCCGATATCGCCAAGATGTATCGGCAAATCTTGTCTTTAGTCAACTCTCGTAATACCGATTATCAACGCACTTTGTGGCGCTCCTCTTCTTGCAAACCAGTCACAAAGTACCATCTCCTTACCGTAACGTACGGCACAGCTGCTGTTCTGTACTTAGCCCTTCGAGTCTTACATCAACTGGCTGACGATGAAGGTTCTCAATACTCGTTGGCAATTCCCGTAACCAGATTTACGTCGATGACTGCGCTTTCGGCGCTGACGATAAAATTCTCGCTCAGCAAACCCGCGATTGATTGCATTGCTCGAGAAAGGCAGTTTTCGCCTTCGAAAATGGACTAGCAATTCTGTAGATTTGCTGTCTGACATTGATCCTTCCGACCATGGATTGGCAGCTCATACATTTCTGCATGATGACGAGCACATTAAAGTTCTAAGAAATTATTTGGAATCCAACTCTCGATGTGTTTCAATTTTAAGTTTCCGCGTCTTCGTCTGGAAGAACGAAACGAACTATTCTCTCGAATATAGCGAAGTTCTCTCTTGGATGGGCTACTTCCATCATCATCCTGGCAAAGATTTTGTTACAGCGATTATGGTCGCTCAAATGTCATTGGAAGAGGAAATTTCCCGCGAGTTTTTAGATCATTGGCTGGATTATTAAGCTACGCTTTCGTCACTCAATCTGTCAGAATCCCTCGTTGGATTACACATGGTTCACATGCCATGCATAGTGCTCTTCATTTTGCCGACGCATCGACTAAAACTTTTACTGTCGTGGTGTACTTTCGTATCGTTCAGGTCGACGGTTCGATTACTGTATCTTTTTACCGCTAAATCGAAGGCATCACTCAAAACAATAAGCGTTCCTCGTCTCGAACTGTCGGTTGCATATCTTCGTTTCAAGAGATATGCTCTTCAGCTTCGGAATATCGAGAGTCATTTGCTGGACTGACTCTACAATTACATTAGCCTGGCTAAATCAATCTCCTTCCCACTGGAAGATTTTTTGTAGCCAATCGTGTTTCTGCTATTCAATCCATTCTTCCGAATACTTTATGGCGACATGTTCCAATACTGTCAAATTCTGCCGATTGCTCCTCGCGTGGTCTAGCTCTCAATCTAAAGGAGCACAGCTTGTGGTGGTCAGGGCCATCGTTGCTGCAGCGTTCGCAAGAATATTGGCTGAATTCGTGCCCGTATCGTCTATCGTACCGTCAGATAGCCATCTCGAAGTGCGTCGGACTTACTCCATTTGCCTCCTAACTTTTACTTCAAATTGGGATCTCGCGTCTCGTTTCTCATCGTAGCCAAAATTGTTAAGAGTCACCGCCTTTATCTTTATCGTTTTTTGTCCTCGAAATCCGCCAAATCCATTTTCTTCAATTCTGCAACTCTACAATCGGAAGAAATTCAAAGAGCAAAATTATATTGGCTAAAGGCAATACAGTCAGATATGTTTCCGAACGAGATATCAGTGTTGAAGCACCAACGTGTGCTACGTATGCTAAAGAATAGTTCGCTGTCGTCTCTCAACCCATATTTGGACAATGACGGACTCCTCCGTGTTGGAGGAAGACTCCGACATGCTAATCTCCCGGCGACAACGAAGAATCCTATTGCTCTCCATTCGCATCCGCTCTTGACGCTTATTATCGAGCATCATCATTTGAGAACGTTGCATGCCGGATCACAACTCACACTCGCGTCGTTACGGAGTGAATTTTGGATCCTCCGTTCACGCACTACCATTCGTTCTGTTTTATACAAATGCATTCCATGTGCACTCGAACAAGCCGCAATGCCTGTCGAATAAATGGCTGATCTA